TAGAATGCATATTTTAACACCATTTACCCCCATAACTTCTGGCGCCCTTGAGCGGGCCCCAGACCCCAGGCCGTATACGAGGCGGGAGACTCCCTTTGCGAGTCTAACTTTTCTCCTGTAACTTACCTTAATTCTCCTAGAACTTCAAAACATAATGACATCCCTGCATGAATGATGGGGCGGGGCCATATAATCTCCATGGAAATGAGATGTGCTAATGATAATACAACTGAACACCAATTAACATTGGCCTACCACTAATGGTTCCCCTTGAACTGACCTAATCACAAACTAATACATGTTAACTTAGCAAAATTTTCAAAGTCTATAGACCATGACTTAAGGGGCGGAGCCAAATAATCTCCATGGAAATGAGATATGCCAATGCTTATGGTACAACTGCGTACCAAATATCATTGACCTACCAATTGTGGTTCCCCATAAATTGACCTAATCACAAACTAATACATGTTAACTATGAAAAGTTTCAAAGTCAATAGACCTTGACTGAGGGGGCGGGGCCAAATAATCTCCATGGTAATGAGATGTGCCAATGCTAATTCAACTACATACCAAATATCATTGACCTACCACTAGTGGTTCACCATGAACTAGACCTAATCACATACTAATACATTGTTGACGCTGCCGCCAGAAACAGCATACCTATGTCTCGCTTTTTGACTCCATCAAGCGAGACAAAAACCCTGTTAAATTATGACTGTTCGTTCAAAGTATTGGTACTTTCCTTAAAAGTCCTTAATCATGAAATTTCATGAAATTTCAGGATTTTCCTTCAAATATGCAAATTTCGAACCAAAATATCTCAAAAGTAAGTCATGAAGGTAAAATTTTCTTTGCATATTTCAAAAGTACACATTCAAATTGACCTTCTATCAAAATTTCAAGAAATCAAAGTGCTGGATAGCACTTGTGGAAAGTTTGCAACGGTAGATGTGTAATATTTCAAATAGGTTGTAAATGTGTAGATTGGGTGTTAAACTTTTTTTCTGACTTTAAAAAAAAATTACTTAATACAAGAAATAATTGTAAAAGAGGGACGAAAGATACCAGAGGGACAGTCAAACTCATAGATCGAAAAACAAACTGACAACGCCATGGCCAAAAATAAGAAGACAAATAGACAAATAATAGTACAGATGACACAACAAAGAAAACTAAAGACTAAGCAACACGAACCCCACCAAAAACTAGGGGTGATTTCTCAGGTGCTCCCGAAGGGTAAGCAGATCCTGCTCCACATGTGGCACCCGTCATGTTGCTTATGTTATTACAAATCCGGTAATTGGTCTAATTCGGTAGGTCACATTTGTGAAAAGGGAAGGGTATTGTAGTTACGACATAAGGAACATATCTGATATCATCTGTGAAACAGTTATTCCATAACGGTCAACTAACATGATGCTGTTATGAAGTCTCCCAAACAAAGCTCCAATAATTAGTCATTCCCAGGAAGGGAGTGGGAATGACCCAAGGGGATTCGCCTTTTATTTCATTTGATTTGTTTTATTGTCCCATACAAGAATATGTATGGTTTCGGGGTGGGGATCTTGACCGTTTAAAAGTTCTCAAAACAGGATGGGGTGGGGGTGACACCCAGGGACTCCTCCTATATTTCATTTGATTTGTTTTATTGTCCCATACAAGAATATACATGGTTTAGGGGTGGGGATCTCGACCGTTTACAAGTTTTCAAAAAGAAGGGGGGTGGGGTGACCCCTGAGGACTTCCTCTATATTTCATTTGATTTGTTTTATTGTCCCATACAAGAATATATGTGGTTTATGGGTGGGGATCTTGACCGTTTACAAGTTCTTAAACAGGAAGGGGGTGGGAGTGACCCCAGGGGACTCGCCTTTTATTCATTTGACTTGTTTTATAGTCCCGTACAAGAACATATATGGTTTCGGGGTGGGGATCTCGACCGTTTACAAGTTCTCAAAACAGGACGGGGTGGGGTGACACCCAGGGACTCCCCCTATATTTCAATTAAGTTGTTTTATTGTCCCATACAAGAATATATATGGTTTAGGGGTGGGGATCTCAACCGTTTACAAGTTCTCAAACAGGAGGGGGTGGGGCTGATCCAGAGGGACTCCCGCTATATTTCATTTGATTTGTTTTATGAACCTGTGATCATTACTAAATCAAAGCACCAAGGGCACTATAGGCAGTTAATTATAAAACCAAAGGCAAACTTGGCAGATGTTAAGATGAATATTGTGGAAGAATTGGTGAAAATATTTATCTCAGCTATTTCTCAAGTATCAAATAATGTTTGTAACGTAATGTTTCTGCTATCCAATCCTACCACTTTTGAAAGTTATTTCCAATTTATTTTTTAAAGATTCAATGTCTGAGATTATGCACATACACTGTCCCATATTAGGGGAGTTTTGTGCCAGCTAACATGTTTAACCCGCCACATTTTGTATGCACCTGTCCATAGTGAGGACCCAGTAATTTGGTGATTGTTGATTGTTGCTGTATATACATGTATATCATAATTAATTTTCATAATTGCTTTGTACATTAATCAGGCTGCTTTAGTTTTATTGTTTTACATTTGTCATTTCGTGGTCGTTTATAGCTTACTATGGAGTATACATGTAGGTTTTGCTAATTGTTGCGGTCTGCATGGAGGAATATTCTTATCAGAATAATAATTTCAATAATGGTGTCCAACAGTGGTGTATGGTTTAATTCCACTATGTACATGTACTAGAGTTTGAATATGCCATATTAGTGGTTTTAGTTGAATCAGCTGGTGCCACTATGCACAATTATCTAATCATACCTGAAACTATCTGAATTGGTGTAATTTACAATAAATGCTGATGTCATTATAATGGCCTAGCAATGATGCAACATATATTTTTGAAGGCTGTACGGTTGCCTATAATTGCTTACATCCAAGTCATTTGAATTTTGGTGGATAGTTGTCACATTGGCAATCATACCACATCTTATTATTTTTATAATAATTGTACTTGTCTAATCTATAATAAGCTGTTAACACAGAGACATGTTTTGCCTATTTGTTATTTTGATAATGCAAATGTTACAATTTTAATAGAAATACATTAACATGTAAGCGATATTCAAAGACAATGAACCATGACTGATGGTACAGTGTTTATCAATCTCCATGGAAATGAGATGTGCCAATGCTTATACAACTGCTTACCAAATACCATTGACTTTTCATAAGTCGTTCCCTTTAAACAAAACTTAACACAAATTCAATTTCTAAGTCAATGAACCATAATGAGGGGTTGGGGTTATATAATATCCATGGAAATGAAACTTTTAAATACCAATACATTCTCATACCAAATAGCTTTGACTTAAGATTACTGGTAATCTTAAACTGGCATAATCATAATAATCACAAACTAATTCATGTAAACTAAGTAAAAGTTTCAAAGTGAATAGATCATGCATATGACTGAGGGGTAAGGACCAAATATCCTCTATAGAAATGAGACGTACTAATGGTCCGAGTACACAGTTATCGTCCTTTGATTTTCGTTGTCCACAAATATAGTCCCTAGTGTGGACAGTGTGTTACTTGCTAATTTTTTTTATACCCCTTCCAAATTTATTTCTCCATGTTTTATGACTCAAATAGCAAGTAGGGGGGTGAAATGACACTGTAAAAAATTTGGGTCATGAATTTTAAAGTAAAGTAGTGATTTGGTCCAGCTGAAAAATGTTAAAAATTAGCACTTCGGAAGCTGTCAAAAGATTTGAAGACCCCCTTGACATAAAATTGTATATATTTTGAGTTAGAGCCGATGAAGTTTTCTATAATTTTGAAATAATTTGTCCCAAAAGTAGTACAACACACTGTAAAAATATTATTGAGAAAGCGCAGGTGGGATTTTTTTAATTTTCATTTATCGTCTAAAAGAAATGCACTATGAAATAACTGTGTACTCGGACCTAATGCTTCTACATCTGCAGGCCAATTATCATTAACCTCCCACTATTGGTTTCCCTAATACTAACCTAATCAAAAGCTAATAAATGAAATTTCAAAATAACGTATGTTTCCAAGTAAAATGAGCATGATTGAGGGGGCGGGGCCAAATAATCTCAATGAAAATTAGAAATGACAAAGTTTATACAACTGCACACCAAATATCATTGACCTACCACTAGTGGTTCCCCCTAAACTGACCTAATCACAAACTTGTACATGTAAGTAAAACTATGCAAAGTTTCAAAGTCAATAGACCATGACTAAGGGGGTGGGGCCAAATATTCTCCATGGTACCGTAATGAGATGTGCCTATGCTAACACAACTGCTTACCAAATATCATTGACCTACCATAAACTATACCTTATCACAAAATCACAAACTAATACATTGTTGGTGCCGCCAAAACCGCATGCCTATATATATATATATTTGCCTTCCGGTTTATATGATCCGTTCATCCTATTTTGACTCTTTCAAAATTCAAGAGTCTATCCTAAATTGAGGTAAATTATATGGCCTTCCAAATACCGTTTCGATTCCTAACATCACTGAAGAGACATTAATTGTCTAAATAAGGATATGGTGTACAAATTTTTGCACGTCATGTTTGTGGTATACCATCTTTTCCGCAAGTTTATTGTTTTCTGTTTGGTAATAAATTAATAATAAGATCTATTTTATTACATCTTGTGATCTTTTTATTTGGCAATCGCCAATGGCAGTCAGCAGGGTTTAAGAACATCAGTTGTTCAACCTGCTAGTCAAATGCGTTTTTGTTAAAATATACTTTTTCACTCATTTGGTCTTTTGGAAAATGTTGTTTGTGCTGTATTTAGACCCCTCTGCCAAGAAATTTATTTTACATGCACACGTATAAAAATTGCGGTTTTTATCCAACGCAATCATAGGTTTGAACGTTGTTTTCTATTTAGACTTGCATATATATATATATATATATATATGTCTCTCTGTTTGACTCTGTCAAGGCAAGACAAAAATTGCAACAAATTTAATACAAATATTTTGTCCATCTTTTTTTAATATTTTCATATTCTTCATTTCTTAGATATATATATCAATGCTGCGTTCACACATAATTCGATTATGATTCGCATTAACTGATTTGAAATAGTTTAATATGCATTCGAAACATTTAACATGTTTAATGTCCAAAAGTAAATTCTACTTCGAATTGCAATACGAGTCAATATCACTTTACTGTCCAAATGATGTTAACTTTTAATTCAATTTATCAATTAATTTATTATAGTTTAATTCAAATTACAATTTAAAAAGTGTCCACACCAGAGTTTAATCGAATTAATTTAATCAAATTAAATTAATTCGTATTAACAAAAAACATAATTCTAATGAGAATTCGATAATGCAAATTAGTCAATTTGAATTAGATTTGAATTAAAAAAAGAAGAGTGTGTGAACGTGATTAGTGAATTCGATTCACATTAGACTTTGAATTCAATTTGAAATAAAAAAAAGAAGATTGTTTGAACTCGGTTCGCATTCAATTCAAATTAAACAAGTGACAAATATGCATTCAGTAAATAATAAAATTGAAAAGAATCCACAATCAAAATACTGCTGTGTAATTATGGTAATAAGTAATTTTCCTTGGTACAATTTAACCTTACTCTTGGACTGTTAATTAGAATATAAATTAAACTAAAATATTTCATGTGTACAATGCATCAATATCATGAATTCCAACTATCTTTGTATAACTTCATGCAAAAAGTTTCTGATAACTTGGCATACTTCTTAGTGCACAATAATATATCTCCTTTTGTAGTAACAGTTACACAGATTCTGACATATCATGATCATAGTTCTGAAAGTATCGTTAAACAGTCTCTAAAAATTGCTAGACCGATAGGCACACTTAATAACAACTATTTTCATGTGTTGTAACTGCTGGCAAGTTTATAATAATTCCTGTCAGAAAGCTGAACCAAAACTTGTCGGACTAGTCAACATGATGAGACCTGGCATAAACAATCTTCAAAATTGATCATATACCGGTATGTTGATATACATGTAAATATCTTCATAACATCATAGTAGTTTTAGAGTTTCATTGCTATTATGGAATTATTGTGGTGAATAGACAATCCAGTTGCTACAGAGAATCATGTATTGTACATGTACATGTATGCCTTGCCTCTTCTAGTATTAGCCATTCCCAAAGATTGGAATAAAGCTGAAATAAAAACAAATACAAATAAATAAATAATCTTTAAACTTGTTGAAAACGTTAAGACTAAGTCTAAAGTACAACGTTTGTATACCTTGCCGACTATAAATAAAGCTTATTTATTTACAACGTTACCTCTTTTCGTATCATGCGATTTTTTTGGCAGTATTTTCATGGAAAAGTCGTTAACCAGCATCAAGTTGTACGATACGCGCGTCTGGCGTATTAAATTACAATGGTACCTTTGATAACTATTTGCTAAAAGATGCATCGAAATGATTCTAGAACACTTTACGAGTGTTTAAATATGAAAAAATCACAAGAAGAAACTTCGAAAAAGTTGTTTTTTCATTACCGGAAAAATGAAAAGTCATTGTAAATCAAAAACATTACGGTGTGAGACGCGTCACAAATTCGTACTTAATATTTTACAAAAACATGTGACTTTGGAAGTTAAATAATGCCGTCCTATAGCAAATTATTGATAAAGTATTAATCTAAATATTGTTTGAAGCACCTTAAGCTAAACCAAAGCACATGTAGAAGTCTGTAACACCAAAGCCTGAATTAAAAACACAAAGGAAACCATCTTGAAATGACCTTGACATCGACCAATCAGATCTTTAGTTTGATTTCATTCATAAATAACAACAACTTGTTTTGACGAGCATGAAGATCAGTTATGAGATAAACGGAATAATATTAACAAGAATACAAATGAGCATACATTTAATTAAAATGATTTTAATAATCACACTCATCTCAAATAAAATTATTAATAATAATTACCTTTGTATTATCAGAATCCACCAAATTTAAAACGTCCTTGATTTACGTTTTGTCAACAAAGTTAAAATTACCGCCAACTGAGACTTCAACTCCGTGTCATATTAGTCCCAGCCGTTATACAATATTCCTGCGCTTTTTGCCATTTTTCAAATGTAAACAACTTGTAATTAGAGATTTTCGGCGATGAAATAATTCATACAATTGTTCTTTGACAACTTAGCCAAAAGCACAGGGGATAATAAACTTCATAAGGATTTCTATTGAGCACTTCTTCCTATGTGCAACTTCAAAACTTTTGGGTGGTTCGACGATCATTTAAGGTTTTTCTGCTCATATTTTTTGTAATCCAGAATTAAAAGTATGAAAAAAGTGTTTAATTAGTTATAAAAACATATTAGCCAGCTAGATAATAACAATGGCACGTATTTCAGCATTTATTGGGTAGAACACAAATCTAGGGTGCTCGCATAAAGCAGCTTAACTGCTTAAAAACCATGTGTGTCTATCACTTACTGTTTTCAAGTTATAGTCATTTGAAAATTTAAAAAATAAGAACTGAGCAAAACACTAAGTCTCCAAACTTAATAGCAAGAAGTATAATTACGAATTTTGTTATAGTCCGATTTTCTGATGCTGATTATGTAATAGGCCGTGTTTATTATAGTCCGAGTTTGTTGTGGGCCGAGATGAGATACTGGGATACTTTCGATACACTTGGGCTTTTACGTCTTTAATAAACATTGTAAAAATCGTAGTAAGCCTCGAAAAATGTTCATTCATGAAATATTTTAAACACGGTATTTATTTTCTCTTCAACAAGAGGACAGGAGGAAACCCCTGAAACCGGGATTATAGTTCTCCCTTTGATATGGATCTCACGCATGTCTGGGGAATACCGATAAAAGCATAACGTAGAAACTGCTGTCTCATGTAGATGTGTATTGATTTTACTTTCCGCGCAGCGCAGATCCGCAAAGTAGTGTTTGTGATGGCCATTTTCAAAATGAAGTTTAACAAGAAATGATTGTAACAGGATGCTATTATGAAGTCTCCTAAACGAAGCTCCTATAATTCGTAATTCCCAGGGTCCCCTGACATAGGGCAAAGTCCAGTGAAAGTTGGTTTGGTCCAGTTAAGTTATATGCATTAGTGACGACTGGGGACTAACCCTGTATATCATTCAAATCATCTTGGCATGACAAACCAGAATATATATGGTTTTAGGGGTGGGGATCTCGACCATTTACAAGTTGAACATTGGGGGTGGGGGGAACCCCTGAGGCCTAACCCTATACACCATTCAAATATTCGAGACATGACGAACAGGAATATATATGGTTAAGGGGTGGGGATCTCGACCATTTACAAGATATAAGAAAATTGGGGGTGGGGGGAACCCCTGGGGCCTAACCCTATACACCATTCAAATGTTCAAGACATGACGAACAGGAATATATATGGTTTAGGGGTGGGGATCTCGACCATTTACAAGATATTAGAACTTTCTCAAATGGCAGGAGGTCAGGATGAAACCTGGGGACTAACCCTGTATATCATTCAAAGCATCTTAGCATGACGAACCAGAATATATATGGTTTAGGGGTGGGGATCTTGACCACTTACAAGATATTAGAATTTTCTTAAATGGCAGGGGGTGGGGGTAACCCTTGGGGACTAACCCTGTGTTTCATTTGATACACTTTATCATGACAAACCAGAATATATATGGTTTAGGGGTGGGGATCTCGACCATTTACAAGGTATTAGAACTTTCTTAAATGGCAGGGGGTGGGGGTGACCCCTGGGGACTAACCCTCTACTTCATTTAATGTGCTTTATCATTTAGAACATTTTCAGTTAAAAAGATTGTGTCTATCACAAACGGTTTTCAATTTATAATCATTTGAAAAATTTTTAAAAGATCCCATAGGGTTCTATAGTAAAACCCTCCTTTCTTTTTGCCCCTCAAAGTACTCCTTTATAAACCCCATTGCACAAACAAAACCCTGATTGCACCACTAGACATATTAGTCTAACATATTGTGAAACCCTAAGTTAATCTGACAAGCGGTTTTAGAGAACGGGTGCGGACAAGTTCAAATTTAAAAGCGGCGGAAGAGGAAGAGGAAGAAGAAGAATAACAAGAAATGATTGTAACAGGATGCTGTTACAAAGTCTCCCAAACAGGGCTTCCAAAATTATTTTTAGACAGCCGGACATTTTATATATGATTCTGATTTTAATCCCTTAAGAGAAGACTAAATAAACAAAGGGCTATTATGGTAATCAGTTGCCGAGTTGACCATCCCAATGATTGACATTAAAAACTAGAGGCTCTAAAGAGCCTGTGTCGCTCACCTTGGTCTATGTGAATATTAAATAAAGGACGCAGATGGATTCATGACAAAAATGTGTTTTGGTGATGGTGATGTGTTTGTACATCTTAATTTACTGAACATTTTTCCTGCTTACAATTATCTCTATCTATAATTAACTTGGCCCAGTAGTTTCAGAGGAGAAGATTTTTGGAAAAGATTACTAAGATTTACGAAAAAATGGTTAAAAATTGACTATAAAGGGCAATAACTCCTAAAGGGGTCAACTGACAATTTCGGTCATGTTGACTTATTTGTAGATCTTACTTTGCCGACATTTATTGTTTTTTACAGTTTATCTCTATCTATAATAATATTCAAGATAATAACCAAAAACAGCAAAATTACCTTAAAATTACCAATTCAGGGGCAGCAACCCAACAACGGGTTGTCCGATTCATCTGAAAATTTCAGGGCAGATAGATCTTGACCTGATAAACAATTTTACTTCATGTCAGATTTGCTTTAAATGCTTTGGTTTTTGAGTTAAAAGCCAAAAACTGAATTTTACCCCTATGTTCTATTTTTAGCCGTGGCGGCCATCTTGGTTGGTTGACCAGGTCACGCCACACATTTTTAAAACTAGATAACCAAATGATGATTGTGGCCAAGTTTGGTTTAATTTGGCCACGTAGTTTCAGAGGAGAAGATTTTTGTAAAAGATTACTAAGATTTACGAAAAATTGTTAAAAATTGACTATAAAGGGCAATAACTCCTAAAGGGGTCGATCTTGACCTGATAAACAATTTTACTTCATGTCAGATTTGCTTTAAATGCTTTGGTTTTTGAGTTAAAAGCCAAAAACTGAATTTTACCCCTATGTTCTATTTTTAGCCGTGGCGGCCATCTTGGTTGGTTGACCAGGTCACGCCACACATTTTTAAAACTAGATAACCAAATGATGATTGTGGCCAAGTTTGGTTTAATTTGGCCACGTAGTTTCAGAGGAGAAGATTTTTGTAAAAGATTACTAAGATTTACGAAAAATTGTTAAAAATTGACTATAAAGGGCAATAACTCCTAAAGGGGTCAACTGACCATTTCAGTCATGTTGACTTATTTGTTAATCTTACTTTGCTAAACATTATTGCTGTTTACAGTTTATCTCTATCTATAATAATATTCAAGATAATAACCAAAAACAGCAAAATTTCCTTAAAATTACCAATTCAGGGGCAGCAACCCAACAACAGGTTGTTCGATTCATCTGAAAATTTCAGGGCAGATAGATCTTGACCTGATAAACAATTTTACTTCATATCAGATTTGCTCTAAATGCTTTGGTTTTTGAGTTATAAGCCAAAAACTGCATTTTACCCTATGTTTTATTTTTAGCTGTGGCCGCCATCTTGGTTGGTTGGCCGGGTCACGCCACACACTTTTTAAACTAGATACCCCAATGATGATTGTGGCCAAGTTTGGTTTAGTTTGGCCCAGTTGTTTCAGAGGAGAAGATTTTTGTAAAAGATAACTAAGATTTACGAAAAATTGTTAAAAATTGACTATAAAGGGCAATTACTCCTAAAGGGGTCAACTGACCATTTCGGTTATATTGACTTATTTGTAAATCTTACTTTGCTGAACATTATTGCTGTTTACAGTTTATCTCTATCTATAATAATATTCAAGATAATAACCAAAAACAGCAAAATTTCCTTAAAATTACCAATTCAGGGGCAGCAACCCAATAACGGGTTGTCCGATTCATCTGAAAATTTCAGGGCAGATAGATCTTGACCTGATGAACAATTTTATCCCATGTCAGATTTGCTCTTAATGCTTTGGTTTTTGAGTTATCAGCTAAAAACTGCATTTTACCCCTATGTTCTATTTTTAGCCGTGGCGGCCATCTTGGTTGGTTGACCAGGTCACGCCACACATTTTTAAAACTAGATACCCCAATGATGATTGTGGCCAAGTTTGGTTAAATTTGGCCCAGTAGTTTCAGAGGAGAAGATTTTTGTAAAAGTTTACGGACGACGGACGACGGACGCAGGACGACGGACGCAAAGTGATGAGAAAAGCTCACTTGACCTTTCAGGTCAGGTGAGCTAAAAATATTGAACTTTCTTTGATTTAAATTCGAAGTTCTGACGTAATTTGTAAAATTGGCAGTGCATCATTCAAAGTGTGCAACATAAGCGTACTTATGTCTGCCTTAGATTCTTTATTTGTGCAAAATATAACGTTGTCAAAAACTTTACTTTCGTTTTTACCGGATGTTATCTTGACAATGGTAAAACATGGACCAGAGACGGATACGTAAATTCCGTGTACGTTTGCAAAGCATGAATGAGTGTAAGCAGCTCTTTCTACGTTATTTCTTCAAGAAAATATTCGATATAAACGTGAGATAAAGGTGTCAATGACAATTTAAGCATTTTTGAAGAAATTAGGATGCATAATTAAATTTCACACCTGCGCACATGCGCACACGTGTACTAGTTCAAACAGAGACATGTCTCTAGTTCAAACAACATGGTCATGACGATTTTTCATTTTCACCTTTTTAGTTTTTTCATCAAATCATATTTGTAAACATATTTCTGATAATTTAAATCTTTTTGACTAAATTAATTAGATGCAAACCGCTGAAATGTAAGAAAATAACTTTGAATAGACCGATCAATGTCCGGTTCAAAATAGTTTACCTGTCACCTGAACAGGTAAATTTCAGCTGTTCGACAACTAATTAGCCTTGATTAAAATGAGAAGGTATTAAAGTAGGGGTAAAAAGATAGTACTTAATGATCATGTCACTTTTATGACCGGAAATGTGTGGCTGTTAAAGGCAAAAGGTTGGGTCAAAAGATCGCGAATTATGTTAAAATGACCGTCTCTTAAGAAAACCTTGAAAAACTAAAAAATAGATGACCGTTTCATGCTTTGCCCAGCCGGACTTTTACCGGACATTTTACAAATGTCCGGAATATATGACCGTTTTGGAAGCCATGCTCCCAAACGAAGCTCGCATTATTCGTCATTCCCAGGTTCGCCTGACATTGGGCAAAGTCCAGTAAAGTTATATGCATTAGTAACGCCTGGGGACTGACCCTGTATATCATTCAAATCATCTTGGCATGACAAACCAGAATATATATGGTTTACGGGTGGGGATTTCGACCATTTACAAGATATTAGATCATTGGGGTGGGGGACCCCTGGGGACTGACCCTATATATCATTTGAATCTTTGTGACATGACAAACCAGAATATATATGGTTTAGGGGGGGGGGATCTCCACCATTTACAAGATATTAGAACTTTCTCAAATGGCAGGGGGTGGGGATGACCCCTGGGGACTAATACTTTACTTCATTTTATGTGCAGTATCATGACTAACCGGAATATATATGGTTTAGGGGTGGGGATCTCGAACATTTAAAAGATATTACAACTTTCTCAAATGGCAGGGGGTTGGGGTGACCCCTGGGGACTAATCTTTTTTTTCATTTGATGGACTGTATCATGACAAACAAGAATATATATGGTTTAGGGGTGGGGATCTCGACAACAGGAATAATTCAACACTATCACATGACTAATCACATGACTATTGTTCTAGAATGTTCCATGAAAATTGACCCCCCTAATATAATACCAAGATGACCCCGGGCTGAAATAAAAAATGTGGAATTGACACCTGGACATCGGTCTCTTGTATTACACAAAACTTAAAGGTTCTACCAGTAGCAAATCAATAGTCGAAAAATGACCCCACCCATGTTCCGGCCCCCAAATACTGCCAAGTTGACCCCCATTTGAAATAAAAAATAGTGAATGCACACCTAGGGATACTACCCCAACATCATACCAAATATAAAGTTTCCATCATTTAAGGCTTGGAAGAAAATGGTCGGACAAATTAGGGTTAAGAAGAATAATAATAATAATAATAATAATAATAATAAGAAACGGGACAAAAACATAAAGTCCCCAAAACTCCGTTTTGGCAACTAAATAACTAGATTTGTAATTGCTAGCAATAACGGATGGCACCCTTCCCTCTTTGCCAGATGAGCGGCAGCCATTTTGAAAATTCCAAAGTCAAAGAGCGCATCTACAGATGTCTTTCAACATTGTTGTAAAGTTTCATCAATTTTTGGGCATTTTGAAATTTTTGAAATTTTTTGCTATTTCCATGGTAACGGGTACAATTTCCGAAATTCAAAAACAGGTGCCACTTTCGGATATGCTATGTTACATATCCATTAAGTTCTAGAAGGTTTGATCTAACATTCTTGCAGGAAATGCAGCTTCAATGTGTTTTCCCATAGGGTCAATGTTAAACTTTTGCCCTGTTTCCATGACAATGGCGGCCATTTTGGAGTTTCTTAATATTGTCACAACATCTAGGCACACCAAAGAACATTACCATAAAGTTTCATCCAGCTAGGTCTTATAATGAAAGATTTAGAATTTTGAAAATTTTTCACTGTTTTGCAGTTTCCATGGAAACGGCGGCCATATTAAAAAATTCCAGAGTCAGATGCACAACTTCACATGGGAGTCCTCATTATAGTATAGTTCCATTAACATTGTATCACTCAATTCTGAGAAACAGCGTGGACAAAATGTGTGGAAGAATAATTAAAATAACTAGATTTGCCATTGCAAGCAATAGTGGATGTCACCCTTCCCCCATTACCACTAGAATGCAGCCAGTTTTAAAATTTAAACAGTGAATGCACATATATACTGATAGCTATACATCTTTCTGTAATTTTTTAGAACATTTAGCGGATTCACAAATTAAAGGCATAATTTTTCCTTTTTTGCCTTGTATCCATGGTAACTGCAGCCATTTTGGAAATTCCAACACCAATTGCCACTTCCACACATGACAGTCAACATTATTGTGAAGTTTCATTTAAGTTTGAAGCATTCTGAAATTTTTTAAATTTTTGCTCCTGTATCCATGGTAACATAATAGTTCCAATGATTGTCAAAATCATTCAAAACCTGTATATAATGGACAACTATATTGTATAAAAAATTGATGATTTTAAGTTGAAGCATACCAAAATTATTCAACAAACCCTGAAGTTTTTGGAGCATTTTGACCTTTTTGCATTGTTTCCATGGTAACAGCAGCCATTTTTGGAAATTCTAACTCCAAATGCCACATCTTCCAATGTTGCTCATCGTTACTGTGAAGTTTCATAAAGTTTTGAACATTTTGATTTTTTTGAAATTTTTGGTGTAGTTTCCATGGCAACATAGTAAATCCAAGAATTGCCAAAATCATCCAACACCAGTATATAGTGGGCACCTACATTGTATTAAAATATAATGATTCTAAGTTTAAGCATATCCAAATAGTTCAACAAAACCAAAAACTGGATTTTTTCACATTTGTTCCGTTTCCATGGTAACGGCAGCCATTTTTTATGTTCTTAAGACCTACTGCAACCCGAAATTTTGTGTTCCTTATTATAGTGAACTATCATAAAGATTGGTTCCATTGGCTCAAAAAAAAACTGCCGGACAAAAATCATTGGAAGAATAATAATAATAACAAAGAAACAGAGGAAAAGCAATATGTCACCCGACATTGTCGATCGGGTGACATAATAAGAAAAAAAAGAAACAGAGAATTACAATATGTCACCCAAACTTCGTTGAGGGTGCCATAATAACTGAGCAAAAACAATAAGTCTTCCCAAACGAGACTTAATTATTTGAATTATCGATGAACATTCAGTACATTTTAATTCAAACTGTAAGCTAATCAAAATAGAAGTAACACAAAATTTCAAAAGCATCTTCCTAGAATTAGTTGTCAAACACCAGTACTACATTATCTAGGAGTAGAACACCCATCCTAAAGTAAGATAGTCTGTCACTTCCGGTTTGAGGTCGATGCCTTAGGAAAGTTTTTGCTATAGCAACTAGGGATTTCTACTGTATCCTATGCCCTTAATCATAAAAAAGCTTCTGCTTAAGTTTAATTAAATTCTATGAAAGTTTGACCAAGCAATTGATGTGTAACAAACTTTAAAATATTTGCAAAACTGGACCCCAAATGGAATCAAGTACAAAAATAAATGAATTTTTGTAGGGATTCGAAATGGAACGGCCAAAATCAATCTGAGTATCACTTTTCACTACTTAAAGGTCAACAACTCAACAAAGATAAAAGCTAAAATCGTGAAAATTGATCTTGACCTTCATTTAGTCACAGGAAACAACATATTTAAATTTGACCAGATTTCATCAAAGCGTTTGCAAGTTATTGCACATTTTAACACACTAAGTATCACTAGTTGATATACAAAGGTTTATAACTCAACAACGATAAAAGCTAAAATCGTGAAAATCGAAATTGACCTTCATTTAATTACAGGAAACAATGACAATATATCTGTAGAACTCGGAGGTGCGATGGGGATGCTGAAGTGCAATGGTAACGCTGAAGTGCGATGGTCTACGCCGAAATGCGATGGTTCGTACGGTGATGTGCGATGGTCTATTTGACGCATGATTGCTAGTTTAAAATCTACAGACCTGCAAATATCATGAAAAGTAGATTTTTTAATAGTTAGTATATAAATTTACATTCATTATTGTCTATGGCTCTCCTTAGTTACAGCTGCATACTAAATGAGCGATTGTCCTCTGTAATTTTCTACATATTGACATAATTCTGCATTAGCATTTGATCTATATGTTGTTCTCTCATCAGTTCCTCATTTACCGTAATATTATAATGCAGAGAGTCCGTCTGCGGACCCGTATATATTTAGAGAATGTCATGCACCATCGTACGTAAAACAGAACCTTTTGTACATATCTAAAAAAAAAAACAATGCTGCAGAAGGTTAACTTTCCATTATCTACCAATCATCACCGCTTCCCGTAGTATTAAAAGTTTATAAGGCCCTTATCAACTTAAAAACCTTAAAAACTACTTTAACATACACATAGACTTCTACATCGACATGAAAAGCCATGAAATGTAGTTTGTGTTGACCATCGCATTTCAGCGTTTCCACCATCACACTTAGGCATAGCTATCAACAAGATAGCGTCACAATGCCACCATCGCAATTCAGCATGATCAAAAACGCACTTCAGCGTCAAACCATTGCACCTTAGCGTAAAAAATCACAGTTTTGAGTACCATCGTGGTTCAGAGTCCTACATACCTAATTTTGAAAAGATTTAGTTCAAGCGTTTTAAAGTTCATGCAGTGACACTGTTTGGCAGCCACACCCCCAGCTGCTCGCCATACAACACCAAATCAATAACTGATTTTCCTTCAGATTTCTGGTTAAAAATGAATATATTTTTTATCAAAAATTATTTCAGAAAGAAATATAATCGTTGCCGCCCCTAACCAAATAATCAGAAATTCTTACTGCATTTTGAACTACTGTCAACTGTTGTCATTTTCTTGATGCCATTATCACACTGATTTCCACTGCTTATCACCTGATTAGAAGAATCTGACGTTAGTCTGACAACAGTTGTTGTGCCACTGTTACACTGTATACTGCCAGTATAATCTAAAAAACTATTCTGGTCAAACTGGAGCTCTAGTAGACTTAGACAAGCTGGTATTTGTTTGATATTTGCTGGATCAGTAGAAGACACTTTAATTGTAAAAATAGTTCTAAACTGCAAAATAACAAAATCATAATCATAAAACTCATGATCATAAATATGGTTTGCTTAAATCTAAAAACTTATAAACCAAGACCAATACTGGGTCTGGACTAGCATCACAGCACATGATTGATTTAGATTTCAATTACTGTAAATTCTGAAATTATTGGATGCATTTATTATTGTGATTTTTGAAGAAAGGACAATAATGCAAGATATTTAATAAATATCTGCATACTGTTACATGAATCTGATATTGAATGCCAGTTCTTGTAGCGACACTCCCTCAGTCACAGTATTCGCATTAATATAAATCTCACAATAGTTTTGAATTTACAGTATACTGAGGCATAGGTGATCATGCTCTTTCATTGAAGGCAAGAAAACTTGAATAAAAATTTTCCTTGAACAATGTACAATTTTAAACCATCTTCAAACAGGAAGGTAATGGACGGTGGATGTGAAAATTGTTTACTTGTTACAACTCAACATTATCAAGCTGTAGACCAAATATTAAATCGTTTCATTTCATAATGGCCAAGAAAACATTGAAGAAAATTTCCTACCCAAGGTATTTCGGACAGACGGACAGAGTCAAATAGATATTAGACCTACTTTTGCCTTTGATATTGATCTGAGATTTGAATTTTCATTTGATGTAATTTTTTTTTTTCAAATAATATAACTTTATCATTATTTTCTCAAATTTAGCTTTTTTTGTGATAATTTTTCATATCCCTGCTACCCAAGTTATATGGGTTATTCTCAGTGGTGTTGGAAGAGAATGTATGACGTCATGAGTCTATGTCATTGAGGTTGCATAGGAAATAATCAATGGTCTTCCAACTTGAGGATGTTTCCTGGCTTCATTTCATTTCAGGGCTGCCGAAAAACAGACCAAAACACAAAAACTTAACACTGAGCAATGAACCTTGAAAATGAGGTCAAGGTCAAATAAAACCTGCCTGACTGACATATAGATCATAAAATATTTCCATACACCAAATATAGTTGAACTATTGCATATAGTATTAGAAAAAAAGACCAAAACTCAAAAACTTAACTTGACCACTGATCCATGAAAATGAGGTCAAGGTCAGATGACACCTGCCAGCTAGACATGTACACCTTACAATCATTCCATATACCAAATATAGTAGACTTACTGCTTATAGTATCTGATATATGGACTTGACCACGAAAACTTAACCTGGTTCACTGATCCATGAAATGAGGTCGAGGTCAAATGAAAATTGTCTGACGGGCATGAGGACCTTGCAAGGTACGCACATACTAAATATAGTTATCCTATTACTCATAATAAGAAAGAAATTAACATTACAAAAAATGTTGACTTTTTTTTCAAGTAGTCACTGAACCATGAAAATGAGGTCAAGGACATTGGACATATGACAGACGGAAACTTCGTAACATAAGGCATCTATATACAAAGTATGAAGCATCCAGGTCTTCTAGCTTCTAAAATATAAAGCTTTTAAGAAGTTAGCTAACGCCGCCGCCGCCGGATCACTATCCCTATGTCGAGCTTTCTGCGACAAAAGTCGCAGGCTCGACAAAAACTATCAATAATCTATACCATTACAGATCAAACCAAGAATAATTTTCTTTAAATAAAATAAATTTAAATTAAATTTACTACAATTTTGCCTGGCAGTTCACTTTCAAATTAACAGCTGCACCAGGAAATTGAGTAGAATTGTCTGTTGCCATGACTTTTCTTTTTTAAATTAAATTAAGTAGTTTATGTCAATGAATGGAAGGAAAAGTTAGAATGGTCACCTTTGCAAAATCGATTTGTATCTGATCTACTGATGTTCTATAATGCTTTGATAGATATTCTTCAAAGTAAGACAATAGTATTCAGATGTGATAGAACAACAACTTAATTGATCAAAACATTTGAATCAAGTAGAACTGTTTCATATTCTTTTAAGTGAAATCAAGGCATGACTTCTACCAAATCAAATTTTAAATAAAAGGAGAATGTGTCAGAGGACACAAATGTTCCCCCTCAAGCTTGCTTATAATGTGTGAAAATACATTTTAAGAGCATTTGATGTCACTTCTAGCTTTAAAAAAGTTTTAATGTTCTAGTCCAAGATATTTTTGTGCTGTGTTATTTTCATATTTTCACTGTTTTGTTTTTATTTCTTATGTGATAAGTTTTCTTATATGATGGTCAGGGACAGTTATGGTCCTTTGATTTTCTTTGTCCTCAAATAGAGTCCCTAGTGTGGACAGTGTATAACTGTGGAAAGACCTATTGTATTTGTTCTGATTATTAGGTCTTTCCACTTTTCTGTGGAAAGACCTATTGTATTTGTTCTGATTATTATTAGGTCTTTCCACTTTTCTGTGGAAAGACCTATTGTATTTGTTCTGATTATTATTAGGTCTTTCCACTTTTCTGTGGAAAGACCTATTGTATTTGTTCTGATTATTATTAGGTCTTTCAACTTTTCTGTGGAAAGACCTATTGTATTTGTTCTGATTATTATTAGGTCTTTCCACTTTTCAGTGGAAAGACCTATTGTATTTGTTCTGATTATTAGGTCTTTCCACTTTTCTGTGGAAAGACCTATTGTATTTGTTCTGATTATTAGGTCTTTCCACTTTTCTGTGGAAAGACCTATTGTATTTGTTCTGATTATTATTATTATTATTTTTTTCTTCCGCCTAATTTTGTTCTAGCGTAAAATTTTTGTTTCGCAAGATGTCGCTTAGATATTTCTTATATAGTATCATACAGTTTATGCGCTTTTTATTTTCACCCATTCTAAGCCGAACAATTTTCTTTGTAGGAGTTATCTCCCTGAACACTGTTTTCCTTGTGATTGCATCTCCTTCGTAACAAATAAAGATATCGACAAAATTCTTTTTCTTAATTATTTGTTACATCCTCAGGAATTTTTGCCTAATTTGGATCGAAGCGATCCAGTGAGATCTTAAAGGAGTTATCTGCCTTTACCAAATTAATTTGTCGTTATGTTTTTGTAACACGTAAACCGTAAGCCGTATAAAAACAATTTGACCAAAATGTTAGTCGCGACATGATATAACTGGAAAGTTTTTGTCAAAATGGTACGCGTCATTGTTTTAGGGGTTCCATGCCACTGAAATAGCAAAATGAACAAAATGAACTAATTATAGCCTCAAACTTTGCAGCTATCATGATGTATACATGCATCTTATCTTAATTTATCAACCAAGGTCCAACATCCTCCACTTCCCCCCCCCCCCCCTTTTTTTCTTCTACTTTGAGGAATCCCATTTCGCCTTGAAGTTCAGTCCTGTACATTTTACTGTAAAAATGCAATCCTTCTGATGTACAAACTTCTTAAATAGAAATTCATTCCTGCAAAAAATCGGCTCCAATTCATGTTCCCGTTAGACACGGTCCGCTTGTTTGAGAAATAAAATTCAATGACATAGAAAAATCGTAAACATTGCTGAAATCCTACAATCAAATTTTTTAATCATGCATTAAAATACAAAACTGTGCTCCCGTAAACATGTGAACGTAAGATGCATGCATGATCCGTCATCAATGACCTGTAAATAATAAAACCAATAGTGGTCATGTTTGTCCGATCAGTACACATGTGCTCTGTTCAACGGTCTCCCCTGAAAAGAAATTAATATTCTAACTCCAGACATATATATTCGAGCGTCACGTGACTTCACAACATCATCACGCGCGCGGACCTAAAATTAGAATAAAACATTCGAGATCCATATCCAAATATGGAAAGTGAAACTTCCAAGACAAAATGTTACTCATTTTTTTTCTTCCTACAAGTTGAAACAAAATGTACACACAACACATAAAAGAAACCATGAAGTATCAGTTCTCGTAGCAAATAGAGAAAATTAGAAAAAAAAGAAGATGTTAGGACTTTTATTTATTAGGAAATCCTCAGGCTGTCCGTTTGGGAGTGCGGGATGTACAAGTACGCAGCCTCGTCAGAATATGAATGTCAAGTCCGATGCCTCGCATAGAGAGAGTGTAATGCAAACTTTCAATCAATCAATCAATCAATCAATCAATCGACCAACCAACCAATTAATCATGTTTCGGAGGGGAAAGACCGTTTAACAATTGTTTTTAAAACGATTGATTTATATTTATTATTGTTATTTATTTCTTCCGCCAAATTTTGTTCTCGCGTAAAATTTTTGTTTCACAATATGTTGCTGAGAAATTTCTTATATAGTACCATACAGTCTATGCGCTTTTTATTTTCACCCATTCTAAGCCGAACCAGTTTCTTTGTAAGAGTTTTCTCCCTATTCACTGTTTATCATGTGATTGCATCTCCTTCGTAACAAAAAAAGATATCGACAAAATTCTTTTTCTAAATTGTTTGTTACATCCTCAGGAATTTTTGCCTAATTTGGATCGAAGCGATCCAGTGAGATCCTAAAGGAGTTATCTGCCTTTACCAAATTAATTTGTCGTTATGTTTTTGTAACACTGTAAACTGTAAGCCGTATCAAAAAAAATTGACCAAAATGTTAGTCGCGACATGATATAACTGGAAAGTTTTTGTCAAAATGGTACGCGTCATTGTTTTAGGGGTTCCATGCCACCGAAATAGTAAAATGAACAAAATGAACTAATTATAGCCTCAAACTTTGCAGCTATCATGATGTATACATGTATCTTATCTTAATTTATCAACCAAGGTCCATCATCCTCCACCTCCCCTCCCCTCCCCCCCCCCCCTTTTTTCTTATTTTTTTTTTCTTCTACTTTGTGGAATCCCATTTCGCCTTGAAGTTCAGTCCTGTACATTTTACTGTAAAAATGCAATCCTTCTGATGTACAAACTTCTTAAATAGAAATTCATTCCTGCAAAATTCGGCTCCAATTCATGTTCCCAATAGACGCGGTCCGCTTGATTGAGAAATAAAATTCAATGATGTAGAAATTGCTCCCAAATTCGTAAATATTGCTGAAATCCTACAATAAAATTTTATAATCATGCATT